GATGCGGGGACCGGTGCCCACACACGGGCGCCTGGGTGAATCCAAGCTCCTCAGAGAAGAGTGCGTTTTGACGGGGCGCAGATACCAAGCATTCCTCCCTTGACTCGGGTGGGGGCGTGGGGGGGAGGCCTGCCTGGAGGCGGTGTCCCACCTCCCACCCCAGGCTGTAGCCGCTCTCCCGGCTCCCGGCCCCGCGCCCGCCGTCGAGGCGCGCTGCCTGGGGTCCCCGTGGGCCGAGCCGCCCGGCCCCTCTGCCTGGCGCACGGAACGTCCTCGTTCACGGTTTCCTCCGCCCGCCTTGCCCGTCAACCCACTTTCCCGCTTCCTCCCGCTTCCTGGGACAAGAGCTTTGTTCCTTGTTGTGTTGGATGCGCTCATTTCCGCGGTGATGCGAGGAGATGAACGTACTCAGGCTGCCACTTAAAACCCAATTCCGAGTCTTCCCTTTTCAGGGAGAGATGTCAATATTTCCCTTAGCCTGAGTAAGCGAGACTCGTGAATTCTGGAAAAGTAGGAACCACCTGGGAAAAGCCAGCGGCGGGTTGGAAGGCAGCCGCTGACCCCTGCAGGTCGCCGCGGGCCTCAGGTGAGGGTGCGGCTGCGCTTCAAAGGCCTGGACACCTTGACAACAGGATTCTGCAGTCCACCTGAAGCCAGAGGCAAGACTAACCTCACAGAACTTTGCAAATATGTTTGTATTGATGAGAGAGGGAGAGAGGGAGAGAGGGATAGAAACATCGATGAGGAGAGAGAATCATGGATCCGCTGCCTCCTGCACGCCCCACGCTGGGGATCCAGCCCGCAACCCGGGCCTGTGCCCTGACCGGGAATAGAACCGTGACCTCCTGGTTCACAGGTCAGCGCCCAACCACTGAGCCACACCGGCTGGGCTCTTTGCTATGTTTTCATTCTTGTGCCTGGGCCTTGATTGTCTACGGAGAACCTTCGGACCCCCCCCCCAGATCTTGCCAGAAAATATAATTCAAGAGCTCAGCCACTCGCCTCTTGCCGAGACCTCAGCTGTTTCAGTAGGAAAGTGCGTTCATGGAGGGGGCGGGGGAGGCGGCGTTCTCTGGGATCATCTTCCGGATTTTATTTTTCTACCAGGACAGACCTTCCAAGAGCCGCCAGCTGTCTTGGCTCCCACTCCCGCGTCCTCGGCAGAATGGCTCTCGCTGGTTTTCTGTTGCGACGTCCCGCCTTGCCGGGAGGGGCGCGGTCGGAAGGACGCGGATAGACTCACCCGGGGAGGCTGTGTCCCCAGGCCCCCCAGGAGCGCCCGCCGGAGGGGCTGCTCGCAGAGGCAGGAGCAGCGTTGGTGACTTGCTCTCGTCGCATGGCCCGTGTCCAGCCAGTGACCTCATCGTGGGCTGTGAGAGCCGGGCCGTTCAGAGGCACGTTGGCCGTCCCCTGGGGTCATTGTCTGAGCTCTTACAAGAGGGACTTGGCTGGCTGAGCGTTCCTCTGGCAGCAGGTCACCGTGGCCTGGGGCTGGACGGCGCAGCTTGAATCCCACCCCTGCCCCTTGCGCACTGTGGGATGGGAGGCCGTCCCTGAGCTGTCCCTGAGCCCCAGGTTATCTATGAGTCGTGGTAATTGTCTCCTCAGGGTCAAGAATATTGTGAAGATTGAGAGAGCACATACCTGTACAGTGATTAACATAGTGCTTGCTGTTTCATAGGATTCTATAAATGACGATGATGATGGTGATAGAGATGATGAGGATGGTGATGGTGGTGGTGATGGTGGTGGTGGTGGTGGTGATGATGGTGGTGATGGTGATGGTGGTGATGATTGTAGTGGTGATAGTGGTGATAGAGATGATGATGGTGATGGTGACAATGGTGATGAGAATGGAGGTGGAAATGATAAGATGATGATGGTGATGACAGAGATGATGACGGTGATAATGATGATGGTGAAGGTGGTGATTGTAGCGATGATGATGATGATCCTATTCTTTCCCTATTCATCACTCACAACCTCAAAGGCATGGGTCGCTGGCTGTTTTGGCAGAAACGGGGCTGAGATGCCCTGAGTGCCGATTTTCTTGTTCTGCTTGGGAGCCCGGGCTGTACCGGGGTGGGAGGCAGAGTCACCTGTGACCGCAGAGCAATGGGAACCTCGCCGGGCGTCCAGGGAGGGCGCCAGGAACCGGCCCTGTGAGCATCGCGCCGACCCCTGGGCCTTGTAGAGCCGCAGGCCGCGGGCCCGGGCGTGTGGACGCCAGCAGGTGCGACGTGGGTGGCGTGTCTCTCCCCGACGTGCTATTTCCTGCTCCGAGTGGGAGAGGCGGGGCTCGGCTCAGCAAACCCAGCAACCGGCTAGTGACCGCGGCGATGCGATGTCCGTCCGGGCAGGAAGTGAACGGAGCCGTAATGAGATGGGCACAGGGTTTGTTCGTTCTCACGGTGTCTGTTAACAGCCCTGGCGAGAGGCCGAGAGAGGCCGGGGGGGCCCCGGAGAGATGCATCCCCTCAGGCGTGAGGCGAGGCCATCCGCCCCTCCCTTCCGCAGGCGTTCGCTCCGTCTCCTCCCCCGGGGGCTGGAGACCCAGCCCTGAGCCGGCCATTCATGCCTCTGCGCCCGGGGAGCTGAGCGAGGATGTTAGCGGGAACGCGGAGAGTCGATGTGTAAACAGGCGAGACCACAAAGGCCGTTCCAGGCGGCGGCGAGGGCGGCTTTGGGGAAACTAGTGGGACGAAGTGATTAGTGGCGGGATCAGGCGCCAGCCCATAAACCCGGAGTCACGGGAGCTGTTGCCACAGAGGGAACCCCATAAAGGGAAGCGGTTCCTGAGGGGACGGGGGTGGGGGGGCCTGGGATGCCGACGTGGGCACTGTCAGGATGGGAGAGTGTTCTGGGACCTGGTAAGAGCTGGTCCACCTGCCGGTGGGGGCGCAGTGTGGGAGCGCGATGGGCGATGAGAGGGAGGGGCGTGAGCATTTCGGACCACGGATATATGCTTTTTTGTTTTTTTAAATATGTTTTTTATTGATTTCAGAGAGGAAGGGAGAGGGAGTGAAAGAGAGAAACATCAGTGATGAGAGAGTTGTGGATCGGCTGCCTCCTGCACGCCCCCCACTGGGGATCGAGCCCCCAAACCCGGGAATCGAACTGTGACCTCCAGGTTCATAGGTCAAGGCTCAGCCACACCGGCCAGGCAGGACCACGGGTATAGTCTCAGGACACAGTCTGGTGGCTTCATAAACTGCTCCTAGATTTGGATATCCTATTTAAAAAATTCTTTTTAAATTGATTTCAGAGAGTGGAAGGGAGAGGGAGAGAGAGAGAGAAACATCATGGACCGGTTGCCTCCTACACGCCCCAAGGGGACCGAGCCTGCAGCCCGGGCCTGTGCCCCGACCGGGAATCGCACCGGGACCTCCTGGCTCCTGGTCCACGCTCAGCCCTGAGCCCCGACGGCAGGAACGGGCGTCACGTGTGGCTGCAATCGGGTTCGAGGACCAAACGAGGCCCAGGCAGCTGAGATGCATGGCTCCCGGCACGAGCGTCTATCTAGACATTTGTCCTGCATTTGGCTTGAGTTTGGTGCTCTCTTGGGTGAAGGGGGGGGCGGGGGAGGGATCTGCCGCCGTGAGGAAGGGAGAAGGCAGGGCTCTAACTTCCTTGTCACCAGTTCCCGGGGGGTCTAACCCATCCACGCCCGTGACAGAGAGAGAAAAAGAGACAAGAGACCCGTCCGCACTGAGCGCGGAGCCCACACGTGGTGCGTGTTCTCATGTCCGTCCCCACACGTGGTGTGTGTTCTCATGTCCGTCCCCGCACGTGGTGCGTGTTCTCATGTCCGTCCCCGCACGCGGTGCGTGTTCTCATGTCCGTCCCCGCACGCGGTGCGTGTTCTCATGTCCGTCCCCGCACGTGGTGTGTGTTCTCATGTCCGTCCCCGCACGTGGTGCGTGTTCTCATGTCTGTCCCCGCACGGAACCTGAGCCGGGGTCGCAGGCCTGGCCGGGGCTGCCCGTGGCCGGCTGAGCAGGACCGTCGGCGCTTCTCGCTCCCCACTGGCCGGCTGGCCGGGTGCCGCCTGACCGGCCGCAGGGCATCGCCACGCTGCTCTCGGCAGCCGCTTCCCTGTCCCCCATTAGCTCCCGGGCAGCTCTCCTGGAAGCGACTCCCGGGACGGAGAAGGGGAGACAGCCCCGGGACCAGGAGTGGGTTTGCTCCGGGAGGGGCTGCGCCGGCCGTGGCCGCAGCTGGGACTCTTGTTGGGGCGATGCGACCCCTTCAAAGCCGTCTGCCTCCTCTGCCTGGAAGGAGGCCCCGCCCAGGCCACGGGGTCCACGCGCAGGAGCCGCGTGTGTGTGAGGAAAGGGAACGCGCTACGCTGCTGGTGTGTTAGGCGTCGGCCATCTGTGCGAGGGGCGTGTGTCTGTGTCTTTTACTGCTTGTCACTCCTCCCTGAGGGCATTCCCCGTGGATTTTAGGGAGAATAGAAGGGAGGGAGAAGGGAGGCAGAGGGAGACCTCGATGTGAGAGACACAGCGAGTGGTGGCCTCCTGCACGCTCCCCGGCTGGGGCTGGCGATCAAACCTGCAACCCAGGTTCATGCCCTTGACAGGGGCCAGGGCGGGCGTGTGGAGGGAAGATTTAAGTTAAAATATATTTTTATTGATTTCAGAGAGGGAGGGAGAGTGAGCGAGAGAGAGAGAAACATCCATGATGAGAGAGAATCCCGGATTGGCTGCCTCCCGCACGCCCCCCACTGGGGATGGAGCCCGCACCCGGGCCTGTGCCCCGAGTGGGAATCGAGCCCAGGACCTTCAGTCCGCAGGCCGACGCTCTATCCACTGAGCCACACCGGCCGGGGCAGCCACAGGACAGCTGGATCCGTGGCAGACGGCGCTCCTCCGGTTCCCCTGGATGCAGGACTTGGCTGTGCCGAGCAGGGGGCCGGGGGGGGGGGGAGGTGGTGTGACATTTATTTCCTTCCCCGTGGGGACCCGGCTTTCACGCTCCCTCTCTGTCCTTGTCCGCAGGGACGGAGGGCCGCGGGGTGGCCGACAGCCTGCAGCGCTTCTCCTCGCTGCCCGCCTACCTCCCCGCCCGCATCCAGCTGGCGGGCGCCGACCAGGCCTTCTTCCTCAAGGAGGCCCCCCAGGACGTGACGGGCAACGCCAGCCTGCAGGCGCGCGCGGAGCCCTTCTTCGTGTTCCGCGCCCGCTCGGCCCCGGCCGTCAACGCCAGCTACGGCCCGTTCTCCGCGGAGCAGCCGGTGCCACGGGAGCTGCTGCTGACCGCCCCGGCCTTCCCCGTCCCCCCCGACGGCTTCCCCTTGAACTGGAGGCTGCGGGCCCACGTCCTGGGCAGCGCCATCTACTCCAACCGGCCCAAGGTGCAGACGCTCTTCTACGTCACCGGCCGGGACTGGGGCGCCGGCGACCCCGGGGACACCCTGCCCTGCGTCAAGATGTTCGCCTTCCCCGAGGCCCGGGAGGTGGCGGCCAGCTGCCGGCTGCGGGGGGCGCCGGGGCTGTGCGTGGCCGAGCTGGAGCTGCTGCCCGAGTGGTTCAGCTCGGGGCTGGACCTGGAGCCCGAGGAGGAGATCCCGGCGCTGCTGGGAGGCACGGCCCTGGAGCTGTTCTTCACGCTCTACCCCGCCGACCCGGCCGGCCGCTGCCCCCTGGACGAGGAGGGCAAGTGGGCCAACCACATCCACGCGGGCCCCGAGGCGCCCCCGCCCGCGCCGCCCGCCCGCCAGCGCATCGGCAGCGTGGTGGTCTACCCGACCCAGGACGACCTGCGCTGGTCGCCGCTGCGCCTGGACCGGAACGTGGTCCTCTCCGTCCCGCTGAACCTGGTCCGCGAGGGGGGCACAGCCACCTTCCTGGTCTCGCTGGCTGGCGGCGCCGTGGCCGACCACTTCACGCTCAGGTGAGTGGTGCGGGGGGCGGGCGGGAGGCGGGTGGGCCGTGGCCGTCGGTGGTCGGGTCCGTGGCTCGGCGGGTGGGGGGTCGTGTGCTGAGTGTCCCGGGGGTGAGGGCACGTTCAAGCAAGAAATAGACACAGGGGGCCAGACGGAGGCAGGCAGGGTATTTGGGGCGGGGCAGGCACCCGTATTATTTCCTCGTCCTCCTCCTCCTCCTCCTCCTCCTCCTCCTCCTCCTCCTCCTCCTCCTCCTCCTCCTCCCCCTCCTCCCCTCCTCTTCCGCATTTTTAACGGGTTACTAGCTAATCCGAGTTTTTAACCGGTATGCAGATTAGCTATTAACTGGTTAAAAACACAGATTATCCATTAACCAGTTAAAAGTGCGGATACCGGTTAAAAACGCGGACTTTGTCATCAAAGAAAACACGATAATTTCAAGAGAAACATCAAAAGTGCTTTGTTCAAAGTCATGGCCATCGCTGGCTACACATCCCCATCTTTCAGGTGATTGGTGGAGACCGTCCCAGTAGGACTTTCCTTGTTTTGAGGCAGGACATTCAGAGGCCCAGTTTCCACGTCTTCATACGTGTTGAAATGCGCTCAGAACGTGCGTGTGCCGTCAATGGTGACAGGTGGTCATCGGAAGGAGCAATACAACCAAACAGCACACACATCACATCGCATGTAGATCAGCACACGCGTGACTCCGTCGATTGGGAAAAAAATCCGCATTATTAACCGGTTCACCTGGTATTTGTGCTCCAGCCAGTGCAGCTCAGGGCTGAGCATCAACCTATGAACCAGGAGGTCAGGGTTCGATTCCCGGTCAGGGCACAGGCCCCGGTTGTGGGCTCCATCCTCCGTGGGGGGTGTCAGCCGATCCTTGATTCTCTCTCATCCTTGATGTTTCTGTCTCTCTCTCCCTTCCTCTCTGAAATCAATAAAAATATATTTTTAAAAAAGAAACATCAGTGATGAGAATCATGGACCGGCTGCCTCCTGCACGCCCCCCACTGGAGATGAGCCCACAGCCCGGGCCTGTGCCCTGACAGGCAATCGAGCCCTGACCTCCCGGTTCAGGGGTCGACGCTCCACCCCTGAGCCACACCGGCCGGGCTCTACCGACACATTCTCGCCCCGTTTGGAGCGGAAGTGCTCACGTGCCTCCCGTCCCCACAGGATCAAGGCCGCAGCAGGTGTGAAGATCGTGGCCGTGAGGGTCAGCAGCGAAGAGCAGTGGGCCGTCCAGGAGGAAATCGACAACAGCGGCGCTCAGGCCACGGCCACCCTCACCTGTGCGGGCCCCCACCCGGACCCGCAGGGCAGGTCAGTGCCGGCCGCGGCCTCGGCTCCTGGGCAGCGGGCATGCGGGTGGGGTGGGGGTGGCTGCAGAGCTGGTGGCAAACAGATGTGTCCGTGCAGCCTCGCCCGCCTGTGGGAGGGACGCGCTCTGTGGGGCCCATCACCAGCCGCAGCCTCGAGCAGCGAGGCGGCTGTGGGGGTGCCTTGGGGGGGGGGCGTGTGTTCTCTCTGTGCTTGACCCTCGGGAGCTGCAGCTCAGAAATGCCCTGAGCACCGCCCCCCTCCCCGCCCCCTGGTCACCGGGCCGGCGTTGACAGCTGCCGTTTAAGAATCTTGTGGTATTATTGGGCCCTGGCCAGTGTTGCTCAGTGGATAGAGCGTCGGCCTGCGGACGGAAGGGTCCCGGGTTCGAGTCCGGTCAAGGGCATGTAGCTTGGTTGCGGGCTCGATCAACGGGCGTGGGGAAAGCAATCCTGTGTCTCTCCCCCTCCCTTCCACTCGCTCTAAACATCAATGGAAAAATCTCCTGGGGTGAGGATTCACACAGAAACATTTGAAAGCCATCATTTTCATTATTGCTACCGTTTGCCCCGATGAGTTTAAAGGACGAAACGGGGAGGGATTTAAGAGGCAAGGGAGGGTGTCCTTCCTGTAGGAGCAGCCCACGGTGGCCTGGCCGCTGAGTCATCGTCTCTGGGTGCGTCAGTGCCGTCATTTCGGGGACGTCACCCCTGGGTACGGGCCTGTGGCTTCAGAACGTGGAGTTGGGTGAACTTGGCGTGGATGGCCGGCACTGGTCTTCTCCAGCCTTCGCTTAAAAAACAATAAATTAAAAAAATATTTTACTGATTTCAGAAAGGAAGGGAGAGGGAGAGAGAGACAGAAACATCCATGATGAGAGAGAATCATGGACGGGCTGCCTCCTGCACGCCCCCCACTGGGGATGGAGCCCACCACCCGGGCCTGGGCCCTGACCGGGAATCGATCCCCTGACCTCCTGGTTCACAGGTGGACGCCCCACCGTGCCAGCTGGGCTCCCCCTCTGCAGGCTCTTTGCCCCGTGTCCTACCTGTTTCTCATCACCTACTCTCGTAACTGGCTCTCTCTCCCTTCTTCTCGATTCTCTGAACTCTTTGAAGTCATCGTGTCAGGCTCAGAGGGAATGAATGAAGGAGTGAATGAATGACTGAGGGACAGGGCGGGTGCGGGAGCGTGAGAAATGGGGAGGTCGGGTGGGGCTGTGCAGGCCGTGGCTGCCGCTCTGGGTTTTGCAGGCGCCGGTTCTGCATTCCCTTTAGAAGAGATAAAACGGTTACAAGGGAAGCGAGTGGTTACATAATTCCTAGACAGCTCGTCTCCTTTGGTCCCTGACCCCCGGGGAGGGGGGGCCGGGGGGAGGATGCTGGGGATCTACGCTCCCCCCTGTCCCTCCAACACCCGCTCCGTCATCTGCATAAATAATTGCTTCTTCCGACGCTTTCCTGTTGGGCTGTGATATCAGTGAGGTGTGAAGTACAGGCTCCCGCGCGGCGACGTGAATACATCCCTAACAGAACCGCCGCGGAGGGCGGTGATCTCGGGGCGGTGACAACCTCGGGTGCAATCGGCCTTTGAACAGAACAGAAGGTACCAACGGCCTGAAATCCTGCGATAAGAATTAAAAATGTGTCCTGGGCGGGGGGGGGGGGGGGGGCCCGACGCGCGCAGCGGGCGAGGCGGGGAAGGTCTTAATTTGGAGCATTTGAATGGGCGCGCGTGGCGAGGGCCTGGGCGGAGGGAAGGCGACAGCCGGCCGATAAGGACCTGCCGCGCGAGGAGAGCGGCGATGAGGAAAACAGGCAGATCGGAACGTGTTCCGAGCAGATAACACGGAACCGGGGGCGAGGAGAGCCAGACGGCGGCGGGCGGTTTGCCTGGAGGCCACGTGTGGCCCGAGGGCTTGGGCCGGGGTTGTTCGCGGGAGGGTTTCCCCTGAAGGCGGAGGTGGGGGGACCCAGACCTGAGAGGTAAGCTGCAACCTTGTCTGTTGTCCGGAGCCCCGAGGGCGTGGTCAGCTGGAACCGAGGTGGCGGGAAGCTCAGAGGTACCCGCGGGAGGGGGGTTTGGCGTGTGCGGAGGAAGGCTCACCACAGGCGCCCGGGGTGCAGTGCCTCTGCCGTCAACAGGCGGGACTGAGTCAGTCCGCCCGCCGCAGAGTGACTTCAGTCGGAAATGATGGATGCAAAGGGCTGCGTTAAACGCCAGCCAATTGGCTGACGGATCGGCTGTCACCGGCCTCCTGCTGGAAAGGGAAGGAAAATGCTATTTAATTATTTTCAGAACATGAAAGCAGCCGTGATGAATGGGAGGCATTTGGACGCTGAGCGAGTCCCTCGCGAGGCCGCGCCGGTTGCCGGGGGGTGCAGGGACCGCGCGTCGCCCCTCGATTAGACGCCGAAGACGGAGGTCTGGTCCCAGAGCTCGCCGGGCTCCGACCTGTGTCTCGCACAACAGTCGCTGCCCGGCACCGGGGCAGGTGGAGTCGCCGGATCCGGGTGGCTAATTGGCCGCCCACGAACCCGTTTCGTTTGACTTGGAGAGTGTGCCCCCCTCCCCCACCCCCTTCAACATGGGCCAACATTGGACCCATCGGGAGATTTGACTTAAAAACACATGTTTCTGCCTGGCCGGGGTGGCTCAGTGGTTGAGCGTTGACCTTTGAACCAGGAGGCCAGGGTTCGATTCCCGGTCAGAGCACAGGCCCGGGTTGCAGGCTCCATCCCCAGTGTGGGGCCGAGCAGGAGGCAGCCGATCCGTGATTCTCTCTCCTCATGGATGTTTCTCTCTCTCTCCCTCTCTTTTCTCCGGAAGGTCCGGTGATGTGGGGTCAGGCTCCTCCAAATGGCGTGCTGCCAGGGGAGGGGAGGTGGGAGTAGGAGGGGCCCCGCTCTCTGGTTTACCGTGGTCCCCTCCATGCCTCTCTGCCCCCCAAAAGCTGGGTAAGAATTCTGACCCCAGGTCCAGTGTGTTTGTGTGTGTGTGGGTTCAGTCCCTGACACCAGCGGGCTGTGTCCCACAATCCAACGCGATCCTGATGCTGTCCGCCCGGAGGGGCACGAGATGGGTCACAGGTGGCGGGCGCGGTCCCGCAAGACTGGCCTCCGCCTCCGGCGCCGATCACAAGCCCAGGGTGTCGCCGGGGCCGCTGACCAGCCGGCTGTGCATCAGAGGTTCCCGCCACCTCCTTCTCTTTTTTGTTTTTCAAAAAATATGTTTATTGATTTCAGAGAGGAAGGGAGACGGGGCGGGGGGGGGGAGAGAGAGAAACATCAATGATGAGAGAGAATCATGGCTCGGCTGCCTCCTGCACGCCCCCCACTGGGGATCAAGCCTGCAATCCCGGGCCTGTGTCCTGACTGGGAGGCGAACCGGCGCCTCTCGGTGTACGGGATGATGCTCAATCCACTGAGCCACACAGGCCAGGGCTGTTTGGAATATTCTGAAGCCGTCAATTGCTTTCCGAGTCGGCTTTGCTAATTGCACACACGTGGGTCTCCGTGGGCCGCTGCTCCTCAGCCTCACACTGGCAGTCTCTACGTTCCCCCTCCCGGCTCTCACATTTTATAATCCCTTCAAGATAAAATTTAATCTCTTCAAAGGTTCATAACAGTGTTGACAGAGACCTTTGGCCTGAAAGTAAATTATACATTGAAAACCAGGGGCAAAGCCACATTATTGAGCCCTGGCCGGTGTGGCTCAGTGGATAGAGCATCAGCCTGAGGACTGAAGGGTCCCGGGTTCGATTCCCAGTCAAGGGCACAGGCCCAGGTTTCGGGCTCGATCCCCAGTGGGGGGGCGTGCAGGAGGCAGCCGGTCCATGATCCTCTCTCACCATTGGTGTTTCTATCTCTCCCTCCCTTCCTCTCTGACATCAATAAAAATATATTAAAGAAAAGAAAAGAAAATCAATGGGAAAAACATCCCCGCGTGAGGATCTAAAAAACAACAATAAACAAAAACACACAGAAACCCGCGTGACTGAGACGCTGCCCCACGGGAACGTTTCCCGAAGGCCGCGGGCCGAGTCCGGTCTGTATGGAGGCGTCCAGGCCGCGGGCCGAGTCCGGTCTGTATGGAGGCGTCTAGGCCGCGGGCCGAGTCCGGTCTGTATGGAGGCGTCCAGGCCGCGGGCCGAGTCCGGTCTGTATGGAGGCGTCCAGGCCGCGGGCCGAGTCCGGTCTGTATGGAGGCGTCCAGGCTGCGGGCCGAGTCCGGTCTGTATGGAGGCGTCCAGGCCGCGGGCCGAGCGCGGGAAAGGCTTCCTCTCGCGTCCCCTCTCCACGCTCCGCCGTGGCGATCCACACGCACAGTCACCTCTTCACCCTGCGGGTCCGTGGGGGCAGGTGGCCGCACCCCGTCCCTGCGCCTGGCCAGTCACGCTGCCCCCGGGTCTCCCCTGCTGGTCAGGGCCGGTCTGGGCAGCTTGTCCGAACCCCCCGCCCCGGGCGCAGGGCCAGGCCCCACAGAGCCGCCTCTTGTCCCGGCTTCCGCCCGTGGCTGGGGCGCTGAATGGCGCTTTCAACCGGGGCTCCTTGGAGCGCAGGGCCCGGCTCCGGCTGCGGCCGCGGTGCCCGCCAGGCCTGGGAGGGCGCCAGGATCCGCTGCCAGAGGCAGGCAGCGCCAGGCATGGTGAGGGCAGGGCAGGCAGACACCTCGGTCTGCGTGTGGAGTGAGAGGGGAAGGGTGACGTGGGTGCGCGGGGAGCCCCCTGCCTCCCTCTCCCGGGCTCAGGGCTCCCCCGGAGCCTATTTAGGCAGAGTGCGCAGGGAGAGGCGGAGGGGCACCTGCACAAGCCAGGTGCCACACGTGTGCACACACATGTATGACCACACACATGCATGTGTTTGCATGCTTGCGTGAGCGTGCACACATACATGGGTGCATGCATGTAGGCGTGTGCGAGAGTGCACATTCAAGTGCATATGCATGCATGTACATGGGCACATGTGAGTGCACATACGTGTCTATGGACGCTGCATGAGTGCACACATTGCATGTGTGTGTGCACACGTGTGCAAGCACAGGTGTGTGCGTGTGAATGTGTGTGATGTTTGTGGTCGTCCCCAGCACCCCCTGGCGCGGAGGGGACAGCGCCCTCTGTGGGTTTGGAGGCCGATGCCATGGCGGCCGGTGCCTCCCCCGTGCCCGCCTGTCCCACAGCCCCCGGCAGGGAGGGCGCGTGGGGCCAGCGTCCTGGAGCCTGCTGTGCTCCTCGCAGGGAAATAGTGCGAGCAGCTGCGGGAGCGGCAGCAGTGCTGCTGGGGGCCTGTCCCCCCCCCCCCCCAGCTCGGGTTCGAGTCCCGCTGGATCCCCGGGTGCCTCTCTCTCTTTCCCCCGAGTGGCCGTGGCGTTTCCTCTGATGCTTGTTTCCCATCAGGACAGAGACGGCGCCATCTCTGGGCCGAGAAACCAACTTTTAAACGCTGTGGGCCCCCCCCCCCGCCCTCCCCCCGACCCTCGGGCAAAGGAGACAATTTGCCATTTGCCTGTGCCGAATCGGACTCATTAAACCCTGAGCATACACCCCGTCACCCGGGCAGGCCCCGCGGCGGGAACGAGGTGCTGACGGCTGGAGGAAGGAAGGAGCCGCCGCTAATGGGAGGCCACAGTCTGCAGCTGGCGGGCGGCCCGGGAGCTGGAGTGGCTCCTAATTGGGGGTGAGGGGCGGGAGGCCGTGCATTTCACCTTTTGGGAGCGGGGCGGGGGCCGGGGACATGGGAGGGGTGCGGGGGGCGGGGAGAATAAAGACCCGATGGCGGGGGTGCGGGGGTAGGAGGGGGCGGACTGGAGACCAGGGCGCAGGCGGGGCGGGGGCTGGGGACATGGGAGGGGTGCGGGGGGCGGGGGGGAGCATAAAGACCCGATGGCGGGGGGGGGCGGGGGTAGGAGGGGGCGGACTGGAGACCAGGGCGCAGGCGGGGCGGGGGCTACCTTGGGAGCCAGGCCGGGTCCAGAGCCACGCAGCCGTCGCCGGGGACGGTGGTGGGAACCACGGCATGTGCTCAGCCACGAAAATAGACGAGGTTTTAAGGGCTGCCCGGCGGCGGGCACACGGGCTCTCCCAGGGCTGTGAGGGACGGGCAGGGAGAGGGCGGCCCCGGGCCTTCGAATCAGAAGCAGCACGACCCCCGGAGAGGACGTGGTGCGAGCTGTTGTTTGGAGGGATGTCCTTGTTCCCTCTCGACTGTTTTCTAAAAAGGCCGTTGGACCCGCTCGCGTCCACGCGTGGCCTCCCGGGGCGTCTGGACGGCCTGTGGGATCCGTGGCACAAAGACGCCGGGGAGGGAGCCCATGGAGCCGGCAACCTGAGCTCCGGCCGCCCCTTCGAGGTGGGTGGGGCCCCGTGAAGCCGTGTGTGATTTTCTTTAAATCCTCACCCGGGGTATTTTCCCACGGATTTTTAGGGAGAAGAGGAGAGAGAGGAAGGGAGAGATAGAACCATCCACGGACCAGCTGCCCCCTGCGCGCCCCCCACTGGGGACGGAGCCCGCCACCCGGGCCTGTGCCCCGACCGGGGATGAACCCTGACCTCCTGGGTCACAGGTCGACGCTCACCACTGAGCCACGTGGCCGGGCTCTCCCACATCTTCACCGCCGTGTCCGCAGAGGGTGCTCCCGGGCCCCTAGCGCTGCTCACGGGGGAGGGGTCGGGGGATCAGCCGGCCGTCATCAGAGAGAACACACCATTGGCTTACGACAATGCCGGCTGTGACCTTGGAGGGGTCTCTCTTGGCTCCAAGGTCGCCCGAGACCAAAGCCGGCCCAGCCCTCCCGGCCCCGAGCTGCGCGGGCCCCCAGGCGGCTGCGCCCCTCCCGGCGGTGGGGGTGGGGGTGGGGGTGGGGGGTGCAGGGACGCAGCGGCGATGCCCGAGATCGGCAGTGCCACCGTCTGCGGCCACCGCGCTCATACTGCAGCCGCTGGGCCTCGGGGCGGCCGCCGCTCACTCTGCCATCCGGCCAGTTCGTGGCTCCTTCCCCCCAGGCTGACCCGGCGCCGCCTCCCATCCGCCCCCTCGTGACCCAGACGCCTTCCTTCCCGAGAACGTGCCCCGCGGACCCGGCGGCGATTGGAGATGGAGGTGCCGTGAGCACCGGCCTGTTCCCGGTGCTGGTTGCGGGTCCGTGTCAGCTCCCTGTCCGTGTCCCCGGGACCCACGCGTGGGCGTCCTGGGCACTGTCCTGGGCCCTCTAATTCCTGCTTCCTGGGCCCGGCCTGGGAGCCGCCTCCTGAGACAGACAACCCCGGTCTCCCCCCCCTGCGCCCCCCCTGTCCCCCCCAGTTCCCTGGACGTCATGCGCGGTCCCGGTTCGCCTGTCCTCTGCGCCAAGTTCGTCTCTCTCTCTCTCTCTTATTTTTTATTTTGGTTAATCCTCCCCTGGGGACATTTTTCCATTGATGCTTGGAGAGCGGAAGGAAGGGGGAGAGACAGAGAGGGAAACGTCGCTGTGAGGGAGACACAGTGACTCACCACCTCCTCTGCGCGCCCGACTGGGGCTGGCGATCGAGTCTGCAACCCAGGCACGTGCCCTTGACCGGAATCGAACCCAGAACCCTCCAGTCTGTGGGCCAACGCCCTACCCACTGAGCCACACCAGCCATGGTGTAGTCTCTCTCTTTTTTTTAAGAATCTGCACTCAAGGATATTTCTTTTCCATTGATTTTTAGAGAGAATGGAAGGGTTGGAGAGAGAGAGAGAGAGAGAGAGAAAGAAATATCAACTGGTTGCCTCCGTCCCGCATCCCGCATGGGGCCAGGCGTCACACCTGCAACCCAGCACGTGGAATCGAACCCAAGACCCTTTGGTGTGTGGGCCACACTCTAACCACTGAGCCACGCCGGCCCCTTTCTTGCCCCGTCATCATCCTTCTTGCCCCTCCTACCCGCCCCTCTGGGAGCAGGGCCGCCCCTCACCCCCAGGCGCCGGCCGCGATACACTCTGCTGGGGGCGGGGGCCATGACCTCCCTCCGCTGCGTGCTCAGCGGGCGGCTCCCCTGAGGCCTGACCTCTGTGGGGTCGGCCGCCGCGCAGCCCCTCGATGGACGCCCCCGTGACCTTGCCCAGGACCTTGCTGGGCGCCGCAGCAGGGGAACTCGGGGACGGGCATCAACTGGGGATGATGACAGGTCTCGCCGACCCCGTGGCCAGGGCACCGGCCCGGCCTGGCCTCTCCGTGCCCTCTGCAGCCCCCGGGGGCGCCCAGCCGGCCAGCGAGCCCGGACCGGCTTCATTAGCAGCCGCTCTCACCGGGGCGCCCAGCGGCCTGCCAGGCAGCGCCGGGTCCCCTCTAATGAGGCCCCCCCGCCCCAGGAGAAAGCAGGACAGGGCGGACTCTGGGAAAAGTGGTCCCAGTGGCCGTGTGTGACTCTTTCTTTCTCCTTTAATGCACTTTTATTGGTTTCAGAGAGGGAGATAGGACCATCAGTGCTGAGGGAGAATCACGGGTCGGCCGCCTTCCGCACGCCCCCCACTGGGGATCCAGCCCGCACCCTGGCCTGTGCCCTTGACCGGAATCGAACCCGGGACCCTTCGGTGTACAGGCCGAGGCTCTATCCACTGAGCCGCACCGGCCAGGGCTTGGCGGCCACTCTCCGTGCTGGCCAAGAGGAGGTGGCCGTTTAGCGCACTCTTGTTCTCGGGGGTGGGGTGGCCCTCTGACACGCGTCCCCCTTCCAGGGTGAACGGCTCCCTCGCGGAGATCCTGCAGGTGGACCTGGGAGTGGACAACAGCAGCGGCCTGGCCGGGGCCCAGCCCGTCACGTGGCAGGTGGAGTACCCGGAGGAGGACGCGGCGGGCGAGCTCGTGGTCTCCGAGATCTTCGTCAGCCAGACCAGCTTCGTGGGCATCGTCCCCCTCGCGATGGTGAGCGACGCAGTTTTCTTCGAGCGCTTCCAAAAATACGTGGTTTTTATTGGTTTCAGGGAGGGAGGGAGAGGGAGGGAGAGGGAGGGTGAGGGAGAGAGGGGAACACCCGTGATGAGAGAGAATCATGGATCGGCTGCCTCCTGCACGCCCCCCAGGGGATCGAACCCGCAACCTGGGCACGTGCCTGGGGTGGTTACGTGTGCTGTGCACACGGCACACGTCTGGCCGTCAGTGTCTCCCGGGCTGGCTGCGCTGCCCGTGGGGGCGGTTTCCTGCATTTGGGTTTAATTCCCATTGGCTGGGAAGTGCCAGGGTTGGATTGGTTGTTGGGGTCGTGTGTCACAATGTAACTCTTGGATTGGTTGATGGGGTCGTGTGTCACAGTGTAACTCTTGGATTGGTTGGTGGGGTCGTGTGTCACAGTGTAACTCTTGGATTGGTTGGTAGGGTCGTGTGTCACAATGTAACTCTTGGATTGGTTGGTGGGTTGTGTGTTACAATGTAACTCTTGGATTGGTTGATGGGGTCGTGTGTCACAGTGTAACTCTTGGATTGGTTGTTGGGGTCGTGTGTCACAGTGTAACTCTTGGATTGGTTGGTGGGTTGTGTGTTACAATGTAACTCTTGGATTGGTTGATGGGGTCATGTGTCACAGTGTAACTCTTGGATTGGTTGGTGGGGTCGTGTGTCACAATGTAACTCTTGGATTGGTTGATGGGGTCGTGTGTCACAGTGTAACTCTTGGATTGGTTGATGGGGTCGTGTGTCACAGTGTAACTCTTGGATTGGTTGGTGGGTTGTGTGTTACAATGTAACTCTTGGATTGGTTGATGGGGTCATGTGTCACAGTGTAACTCTTGGATTGGTTGGTGGGGTCGTGTGTCACAATGTAACTCTTGGATTGGTTGATGGGGTCATGTGTCACAGTGTAACTCTTGGATTGGTTGGTGGGGTCGTGTGTCACAATGTAACTCTTGGATTGGTTGGTGGGGTCGTGTGTTACAGTGTAACTCTTGGATTGGTTGATGGGGTCGTGTGTCACAATGTAACTCTTGGATTGGTTGATGGGGTCGTGTGTCACAGTGTAACTCTTGGATTGGTTGGTGGGGTCGTGTGTCACAGTGTAACTCTTGGATTGGTTGGTAGGGTCGTGTGTCACAATGTAACTCTTGGATTGGTTGGTGGGTTGTGTGTTACAATGTAACTCTTGGATTGGTTGATGGGGTCGTGTGTCACAGTGTAACTCTTGGATTGGTTGTTGGGGTCGTGTGTCACAGTGTAACTCTTGGATTGGTTGGTAGGGTCGTGTGTCACAATGTAACTCTTGGATTGGTTGGTGGGGTCGTGTGTCACAGTGTAACTCTTGGATTGGTTGGTGGGCTCGTGTGTCACAGTGTAACTCTTGGAATGGTTGTTGGGGTCGTGTGTCACAGTGTAACTCTTGGATTGGTTGGTGGGGTCGTGTGTCACAATGTAACTCTTGGATTGGTTGATGGGGTCGTGTGTCACAATGTAACTCTTGGATTGGTTGATGGGGTCGTGTGTCACAATGTAACTCTTGGATTGGTTGGTGGGGTCGTGTGTCACAATGTAACTCTTGGATTGGTTGATGGGGTCGTGTGTCACAATGTAACTCTTGGATTGGTTGGTGGGGTCGTGTGTTACAGTGTAACTCTTGGATTGGTTGATGGGGTCGTGTGTCACAATGTAACTCTTGGATTGGTTGGTGGGGTCGTGTGTCACAATGTAACTCTTGGATTGGTTGTTGGGGTCGTGTGTCACAGTGTAACTCTTGGATTGGTTGGTGGGCTCGTGTGTCACAGTGTAACTCTTGGAATGGTTGTTGGGGTCGTGTGTCACAGTGTAACTCTTGGATTGGTTGGTGGGGTCGTGTGTCACAATGTAACTCTTGGATTGGTTGGTGGGGTCGTGTGTTACAGTGTAACTCTTGGATTGGTTGATGGGGTCGTGTGTCACAATGTAACTCTTGGATTGGTTGATGGGGTCGTGTGTCACAGTGTAACTCTTGGATTGGTTGGTGGGGTCGTGTGTCACAGTGTAACTCTTGGATTGGTTGGTAGGGTCGTGTGTCACAATGTAACTCTTGGATTGGTTGGTGGGTTGTGTGTTACAATGTAACTCTTGGATTGGTTGATGGGGTCGTGTGTCACAGTGTAACTCTTGGATTGGTTGTTGGGGTCGTGTGTCACAATGTAACTCTTGGATTGGTTGGTAGGGTCGTGTGTCACAATGTAACTCTTGGATTGGTTGGTGGGGTCGTGTGTCACAGTGTAACTCTTGGATTGGTTGGTGGGCTCGTGTGTCACAGTGTAACTCTTGGAATGGTTGTTGGGGTCGTGTGTCACAGTGTAACTCTTGGATTGGTTGGTGGGGTCGTGTGTCACAATGTAACTCTTGGATTGGTTGATGGGGTCGTGTGTCACAATGTAACTCTTGGATTGGTTGATGGGGTCGTGTGTCACAATGTAACTCTTGGATTGGTTGGTGGGGTCGTGTGTCACAATGTAACTCTTGGATTGGTTGATGGGGTCGTGTGTCACAATGTAACTCTTGGATTGGTTGGTGGGGTCGTGTGTCACAATGTAACTCTTGGATTGGTTGATGGGGTCGTGTGTCACAGTGTAACTCTTGGATTGGTTGGTGGGGTCGTGTGTCACAATGTAACTCTTGGATTGGTTGATGGGGTCGTGTGTCACAATGTAACTCTTGGATTGGTTGGTGGGGTCGTGTGTCACAATGTAACTCTTGGATTGGTTGTTGGGGTCGTGTGTCACAGTGTAACTCTTGGATTGGTTGGTGGGCTCGTGTGTCACAGTGTAACTCTTGGAATGGTTGTTGGGGTCGTGTGTCACAGTGTAACTCTTGGATTGGTTGGTGGGGTCGTGTGTCACAATGTAACTCTTGGATTGGTTGATGGGGTCGTGTGTCACAATGTAACTCTTGGATTGGTTGTTGGGGTCGTGTGTCACAGTGTAACTCTTGGATTGGTTGATGGGGTCGTGTGTCACAGTGTAACTCTTGGATTGGTTGTTGGGGTCGTGTGTCACAGTGTAACTCTTGGATTGGTTGGTGGGGTCGTGTGTCACAGTGTAACTCTTGGATTGGTTGGTGGGGTCGTGTGTCACAATGTAACTCTTGGATTGGTTGGTGGGGTCGTGTGTCACAATGTACCTCTTGGATTGGTTGGTGGGGTCATGTGTCACAATGTAACTCTTGGATTGGTTGGTAGGGTCGTGTGTCACAATGTAACTTGGATTGGTTGATGGGGTCGTGTGTCACAATGTAACTCTTGGATTGGTTGGTAGGGTCGTGTGTCACAATGTAACTCTTGGATTGGTTGGTAGGGTCGTGTGTTACAATGTAACTCTTGGATTGGTTGATGGGGTCGTGTGTCACAATGTAACTCTTGGATTGGTTGGTGGGGTCGTGTGTCACAGTGTAACTCTTGGATTGGTTGATGGGGTCGTGTGTCACAATGTAACTCTTGGATTGGTTGGTGGGGTCGTGTGTCACAGTGTAACTCTTGGATTGGTTGGTGGGCTCGTGTGTCACAGTGTAACTCTTGGAATGGTTGTTGGGGTCGTGTGTCACAGTGTAACTCTTGGATTGGTTGGTGGGGTCGTGTGTCACAATGTAACTCTTGGATTGGTTGATGGGGCCGTGTGTCACAATGTAACTCTTGGATTGGTTGTTGGGGTCGTGTGTCACAGTGTAACTCTTGGATTGGTTGATGGGGTCGTGTGTCACAGTGTAACTCTTGGATTGGTTGTTGGGGTCGTGTGTCACAGTGTAACTCTTGGATTGGTTGGTGGGGTCGTGTGTCACAGTGTAACTCTTGGATTGGTTGGTGGGGTCGTGTGTCACAATGTAACTCTTGGATTGGTTGGTGGGGTCGTGTGTCACAATGTACCTCTTGGATTGGTTGGTGGGGTCATGTGTCACAATGTAACTCTTGGATTGGTTGGTAGGGTCGTGTGTCACAATGTAACTTGGATTGGTTGATGGGGTCGTGTGTCACAATGTAACTCTTGGATTGGTTGGTAGGGTCGTGTGTCACAATGTAACTCTTGGATTGGTTGGTAGGGTCGTGTGTTACAATGTAACTCTTGGATTGGTTGATGGGGTCGTGTGTCACAATGTAACTCTTGGATTGGTTGGTGGGGTCGTGTGTCACAATGTAACTCTTGGATTGGTTGGTGGGGTCGTGTGTCACAATGTAACTCTTGGATTGGTTGGTGGGGTCGTGTGTCACAGTGTAACTCTTGGATTGGTTGATGGGGTCGTGTGTCACAGTGTAACTCTTGGATTGGTTGATGGGGTCGTGTGTCACAGTGTAACTCTTGGATTGGTTGATGGGGTCGTGTGTCACAATGTAACTCTTGGATTGGTTGGTGGGGTCGTGTGTCACAGTGTAACTCTTGGATTGGTTGATGGGGTCGTGTGTCACAGTGTAACTCTTGGATTGGTTGGTGGGGTCGTGTGTCACAATGTAACTCTTGGATTGGTTGGTGGGGTCGTGTGTCACAATGTAACTCTTGGATTGGTTGGTGGGGTTGTGTGTCACAATGTAACTCTTGGATTGGTTGGTGGGGTCGTGTGTCACAATGTAACTCTTGGATTGGTTGGTGGGGTCATGTGTCACAATGTAACTCTTGGATTGGTTGGTAGGGTCGTGTGTCACAATGTAACTCTTGGATTGGTTGGTGGGTTGTGTGTCACAATGTAACTCTTGGATTGGTTGATGGGGTTGTGTGTCACAATGTAACTCTTGGATTGGTTGGTGGGGTCGTGTGTCACAGTGTAACTCTTGGATTGGTTGGTGGGGTCGTGTGTTACAATGTAACTCTTGGATTGGTTGGTGGGGTCGTGTGTCACAGTGTAACTCTTGGATTGGTTGATGGGGTTGTGTGTTACAATGTAACTCTTGACCACTCTGAAGAGTGGTTCCGAAGTGGCTCCAAGGGACAGAGCCTCTCTGCTGAGGGCCCAGCTGACCCCGTGCACCTGCCTGTCTCCTCTCTGTATGAGGACACCAGCCAGACATCAGCCTCTGGGCTTAGGGCCCACCCTCGCTCATCCAGTGTGACCTCATCTGAACGAATCCCAGGCGCCCAGACCCCGACTGATTGGGCAGGGGCAGCGCTGGCTGGAACTTCCTTTTCCTGGGAGAGGGACTCACAGGCGACTCTTCCTGGGGCGCCCACTAGATGGCGCTCACAGACCAGCCTCTGGCCGTACTTGCCTTGGGCTCCCCTCCCCAGCGGGCTCTCTGGACACCTGCCCCTGGTCCATCCTGTCCCCAGTTAACTGACTGCCCCTCAAACCACATGCACCAAGCCCCGTATTCACCTGGGATTCCCGACTCCTCCACGTGTGAGGAACGGAAGCTTCATCCTGCAGCCCCGCCCAGTGCTCCTCCCATCACCTGCTCCTGCTCCTGCTCCTGCACCTGCACCTGCACCTGCTCCTGCACCTGCACCTGGAACTTGTATCTGCACCTGCACCTGTTCCTGCACCTGCACCTGCTTCTGCACCTGTTCCTGCACCTGGAACTTGTATCTGCACCTGCACCTGTTCCTGCACCTGCACCTGGAACTTGTAACTGCACCTGCACCTGTTCCTGCACCTGCACCTGTTCCTGCACCTGTACCTGCTTCTGCACCTGCACCTGCTCCTGCACCTGCACCTGCACCTGGAACTTGTACCTGTACCTGCACCTGGAACTTGTACCTGTACCTGCACCTGTTCCTGCACCTGGAACTTGTACCTGTACCTGCACCTGCTCCTGCACCTGCACCTGCACCTGCTTCTGCACCTGAAAACTGTACCTGCACCTGGCAGCTTGGAAAGGTGCAGCCTTGCTCACCCAACACCTCTGCCTGCCCTGTGGCTGGATGGGTGCTTGCATGTGGCTTTTTTTCCTTGGAAGGTTTTATAGTTTTCATGAAAAGGATGAACTGCTCTACGTCCACGCGGTGCGGAGAGCTGGCTGGGCAGAGGGCAGACGGCCCCAGACGCTGCGACACGAGGCCACACTGTGCGCCGCCTCCTCTTACCCCGACAGAGAAGACGGGTTCTTGCCTGGGGTTTCTGAACCTCGAGAACCATGACTCTCTCCCCGGGATCCCGGTCTTTAAAGCGCCACGCCGTGGCCCGGGGGGAGTTTGTGGTGAAAACTAGCCGAGGATTGGGGCCATTCTTCTTCAAGAAACTTATTGTTTGATAATTTTACCGGAGATCCTTACCCATTAGCTTCAGAACCACAAGGGGGCTGACTGGCAATGTGGACTCCTGCCCGCGGCCGCACACCGCGCTCTCCCTCCGCCCGCGCCTCCTCCCGCTCCGCGCCCGGCTCTCCTGGCACCGAAGAGCCTCATGTGCTGGGGCCGGGGACGAGGAGCCGGACGCGGGCGGACGAGGAGCCGGACGCGGGCGGACGAGGAGCCGGATGCGGGCGGACGAGGAGCCGGACGCGGGCGGACGAGGAGCCGGACGCGGGCGGACGAGGAGCCGGACGCGGGCGGACGAGGAGCTGGATGCGGGCGGACGAGGAGCTGGACGCGGGCGGATGAGGAGCCGGACGCGGGCGGACGAGGAGCCGGACGCGGGCGGACGAGTCCCTCCTTCCAACATGTGTTCTCGGCGCGGAACGCTGGTTAAACGCAGGCACAGACACAGAGGAAAACGAAACGCCGTCTCTCCTGCCTTCCCTGCCTGGAGCAGCGGTTCTCAGCCTTCTGGCCCTTTCAATACGGCTCCTCATGCTGGGACCCAACCATGACATTATTTCCGTGGCTGCTTCATCACTGTCATGTTGCTCCTGTGATGAATCGTTATGTAAATATCTGACATGCAGGATCATCTCAGGCGACCCCTGTGAAAGGGCCGTTCGACCGCCAAAGGGGTCGCGACCCACAGGTTGAGAACCGCTGGCCTGGAGGCTCACGGGACGGACCGGCTGCAGCTTCTCTCCTCGCGTCTCGCTGTTGACAATGTGCTGGTCCTGTTTTACTTCTTCTTAAAAAAGATGTTTTCATTGATGTCAGAGAGGGAGGGAGGGAGAGAGAGAAACATCAGTGATGAGAGAGAATCATGGACCGGCTGCCTCCTGCATCCCCCTCCCTGGGGATGGAGCCTGCAACCCGGGCCTGGGCCCCGACCGGGAATCGAACCCTGACCTCCTGGTTCACAGGTTGATGCTCAATCACTGAGCCACGCCGGCCCGGCTTTTAAAAAATGTATTTAGATTGTTTTCAGATATTCATTATGAAGTTGATGTTCTCTATGGACAAGAGCTTTCTATTCAGACTTAATCTCCGTGAAAAGCCATTAAGCTCCTCACCCAATGAGCCCCGAGCCCTGATGGACGCTGGGGGCGAGGGGGGGCCTCCTGTGCGAGGTGAGCCTGAGGGGCGCGGACGGTGGACGTTGCAGAAGGAGACCTCAGGGTGGAGGTGGCCTGCTCCGCGCCCCCGGGCACGGCTCCCCCGCCCGCGTCCCGCCTGCTGACACGCGCCTCCCTCCGCAGGACACGGAGATCCTGAACACGGCCATCCTGACCGGCCAGGCCGTCTCGGTGCCCGTCAAGGTCGTGGCCGTGCAGGAGGACGGCTCTGTGGTGGCCGTGGCCGAGGCCCTGGAGTGCAGGTCCGCGGACGAGGACGTCGTGAAGGTGCTGCCCGCGTTGCCCCCGCTTTCCCCCGAGCCCAGCCCTTTGGGGTTCGCCCCTTGTCCTGTCAGGGTCCCCAGCGTTCCCTGTCCTTCCCGCTGATATGACGTCTCGGGGTTCCTGCTCTATCCCCCCCCTCCCGTCCCCCCAGGTCTCCGAGCGCTGTGACTCCGTGTTTGTGAACGGCAAGGAGATGAGGGGCCGTGTGGACACGCCCGTGAGCTTCACCCACCAGCACTTCACCGCCCAGTTGGAGGTCACGGTCTGGGCGCCCCGGCTGCCCCTGCAGATCGAGATCTCGGACACGGAGCTGAGCCAGGTCAAGGGCTGGCGGGTCCCCGTGGCGCCCAACCGGAGGTGAGGAGCCGGGAGGGCGGCCGGCAGGCGGGACGAGGGGGCCCGGTCCGGGGCCCATCCAGGCGGGAGGCAAACGGACCCGACCGAGACCCTCCTGTGCTGGGGCCTCAGGACCGGAAATGAAATGGGAAAACGGGAAAACGCCTCGGAAGCGTCCGGCTGGCCGGCGGGGCTCAGTGCTTGGGCATCGGCCCAGGAACCAGGGGCTCGGGTTCGATTCCCGGGCAGGACACGGGCCCGGGCTGCCTGCAGGAGGCGGCTGATCGATGGTTCTCTCTCGTCATCGATGTTTCTGTCTCTCTCTCCCCCTCTCCCTTCCTCTCTCTAAAAGGTCAATAAAAACACATATTTTTAGGAAAGAAAACATTAAAAACATTAATGTCTACACGTGGCTGCCCCTCCCCCGGACACGTGTCCCTGTCCACTGGCGGCCGCAGGCTGGTCAGCAGCCCCAGACGGGGCCTCCGGTAAAGGGCCTGGGCAGGGGGGCTCTGAAGGGCGGGGCCGAGCGGAGGGGCGTCAGGCTCCCGCCGGGAGGGACCGCCTGAGTCCCCCGCACCTGGAGGAAGGCCAGGGGCAGCCGTTCTCTTTATTTGTTTGTTTATTTACTTATTTTCGTTCATCCTCGCCCGAGGGTATTTTTCCATTGAATTTTAGAGAGAGAGGATGGGGGAGAGAGAGAGAGAGAGAGAGAGAGAGAGAGAGAGACACCCATTGGTTGCCTCCCACACGCACCCTAACCAGGGTTAGGGATTAAGCTTGCAACCCGGGTACGTGCCCTTGACCAGAATCGAACCCGGGACCCTTCAGTCCCCAGGCCGATGCTCTGTCCACAGAGCCACACCGGCCAGGGCAGGACAGTCATTCTTCTTGTTGTTAATTCTCACCCGCGGATATGTTTCTAATGATTTTTAGAGAGAGTGGAGCGGGGGGGGGGGGGGGGGAGGAGACATCAATGTGAGAGAGACACATCGATGGGTTGACTCTTGCCTGGGGCCGGGGATGGAACCTGCAACCCAGGGAGGAGCCCTTGACTGGAAATCGAACCCGAGACCCTTTGGTGTTCCGGCCGATGCTCTAACCACCGAGCCACACTGGCCAGACCTGGGGCAGCCGTTGTGCCCACTTCCAGGTGAGGGGACCGGCACTGGCTCCCCGCCCAGACCTCAGGCTCCCCCCTCCCCCGGCCTGGGCTGCAGTCGTGCATCATCTGCGGGCGATGCTTTCGAAACTCCAGGTTAGAGAGGCGCCCACCTGCTTGGGCGGCGGGGCAGGGCCTGCGCTCCCTCCCGTGTCCACGCCGGCGGCAGCGCAGGGCCCGCCAGGAAGAGCCCGCGGGGGGGGAGGGGCAGGCGGTCAGGGGACCGTGAGCCGGACGGCCCCGCGCCCGCTGACGCCTCCGCGCCCGCTCGTGCCCAGGCCCACACGGGAGAGCGAGGACGAGGAGGACGAGGAGAGGAAGGGGCGCGGGTGCTCGCTGCAGTACCAGCACGCCCTGGTGCGCGTCCTCACGCAGTTCGTGGCCGAGGCGCCCGACCCGGGCCGGCTGCGCCCCCTGCTGGGCCCCGACTGGCAGCTGGACATCACCGACCTGGTGGCCGGCTTCCTGACGGTGGAGGAGCCGCGGGTCGCGCAGCTGCAGGGCGGCCGGACGCTGGCGGGCCGCGAGCCGGGCATCACCTCCGTGCAGGTACGCGCCCCTGCCGCCCCGCCTGGTAGGTGCAGGTGTGCGTGCGTGCATGTGCGCGTGTGTGCATGTGTGTGAGCGCATGCGTGTGTGCATGAGCGTGAGTGTGTGCGTGTGTGTATGTGCATGTGTGCGAGCATGTGCGTGTGTGAGCGCATGCGTGTGAGTGTGTGCTTGTGTGTGAGCGCATGCGTGTGAGTGTGTGCTTGTGTGTGAGCGCATGCGTGTGTGTGCTTGTGTGTGAGCGCATGCGTGTGAGTGTGTGCTTGTGTGTGAGCGCATGCGTGTGAGTGTGTGCATGTGTGTGAGCGCATGCGTGTGAGTGTGTGCTTGTGTGTGAGCGCATGCGTGTGAGTGTGTGCTTGTGTGTGAGCGCATGCGTGTGAGTGTGTGCTTGTGTGTGAGCGCATGCGTGTGAGCGTGTGCTTGTGTGTGAGCGCATGCGTGTGAGTGTGCTTGTGTGTGAGCGCATGCGTGTGAGTGTGTGCTTGTGTGTGAGCGCATGCGTGTGAGTGTGTGCATGTGTGTGAGCGCATGCGTGTGAGTGTGTGCTTGTGTGTGAGCGCATGCGTGTGAGTGTGTGCTTGTGTGTGAGCGCATGCGTGTGAGTGTGTGCTTGTGTGTGAGCGCATGCGTGTGAGTGTGTGCTTGTGTGTGAGCGCATGCGTGTGCGCATGTGCGTGTGCATGAGTGCGTGTGTGTATGTGCATGTGTGCGAGCGTGTGCGTGTGTGAGCGCATGCGTGTGAGTGTGTGCTTGTGTGTGAGCGCATGCGTGTGAGTGTGTGCTTGTGTGTGAGCGCATGCGTGTGAGTGTGTGCTTGTGTGTGAGCGCATGCGTGTGAGTGTGTGCTTGTGTGTGAGCGCATGCGTGTGTGTGTGTGCTTGTGTGTGAGCGCATGCGTGTGAGTGTGTGCTTGTGTGTGAGCGCATGCGTGTGCGCATGTGCGTGTGCATGAGTGCGTGTGTGTATGTGCATGTGTGCGAGCGTGTGCGTGTGTGAGCGCATGCGTGTGTGTGTGCTTGTGTGTGAGCGCATGCGTGTGAGTGTGTGCATGTGTGTGAGCGCATGCGTGTGAGCGTGTGCATGTGTGTGAGCGCATGCGTGTGAGTGTGCTTGTGTGTGAGCGCATGCGTGTGTGTGCATGTGTGTGAGCGCATGCGTGTGAGTGTGTGCTTGTGTGTGAGCGCATGCGTGTGAGTGTGTGCTTGTGTGTGAGCGCATGCGTGTGAGTGTGTGCTTGTGTGTGAGCGCATGCGTGTGAGTGTGTGCTTGTGTGTGAGCGCATGCGTGTGAGTGTGTGCTTGTGTGTGAGCGCATGCGTGTGCGCATGTGCGTGTGCATGAGTGTGTGTGTATGTGCATGTGTGCGAGCGTGTGCGTGTGTGAGCGCATGCGTGTGAGTGTGTGCTTGTGTGTGAGCGCATGCGTGTGAGTGTGTGCATGTGTGTGAGCGCATGCGTGTGAGCGTGTGCATGTGTGTGAGCGCATGCGTGTGAGCGTGTGCTTGTGTGTGAGCGCATGCGTGTGAGTGTGTGCATGTGTGTGAGCGCATGCGTGTGAGTGTGTGCTTGTGTGTGAGCGCATGCGAGTGAGTGTGTGCTTGTGTGTGAGCGCATGCGTGTGAGTGTGTGCTTGTGTGTGAGCGCATGCGTGTGAGTGTGTGCTTGTGTGTGAGCGCATGCGTGTGAGTGTGTGCTTGTGTGTGAGCGCATGCGTGTGAGTGTGTGCTTGTGTGTGAGCGCATGCGTGTGAGTGTGTGCTTGTGTGTGAGCGCATGCGTGTGAGTGTGTGCTTGTGTGTGAGCGCATGCGTGTGAGTGTGTGCTTGTGTGTGAGCGCATGCGTGTGAGTGTGTGCTTGTGTGTGAGCGCATGCGTGTGCGCATGTGCGTGTGCATGAGTGCGTGTGTGTATGTGCATGTGTGCGAGCGTGTGCGTGTGTGAGCGCATGCGTGTGAGTGTGTGCTTGTGTGTGAGCGCATGCGTGTGAGTGTGTGCTTGTGTGTGAGCGCATGCGTGTGCGCATGTGCGTGTGCATGAGTGCGTGTGTGTATGTGCATGTGTGCGAGCGTGTGCGTGTGTGAGCGCATGCGTGTGAGTGTGTGATTGTGTGTGAGCGCATGCGTGTGAGTGTGTGCTTGTGTGTGAGCGCATGCGTGTGAGTGTGTGCTTGTGTGTGAGCGCATGCGTGTGAGTGTGTGCTTGTGTGTGAGCGCATGCGTGTGAGTGTGTGCTTGTGTGTGAGCGCATGCGTGTGAGTGTGTGCTTGTGTGTGAGCGCTTGCGTGTGAGTGTGTGCTTGTGTGTGAGCGCATGCGTGTGAGTGTGTGCTTGTGTGTGAGCGCATGCGTGTGCGCATGTGCGTGTGCATGAGTGCGTGTGTGTATGTGCATGTGTGCGAGCGTGTGCGTGTGTGAGCGCATGCGTGTGAGTGTCTGCTTGTGTGTGAGCGCATGCGTGTGTGTGCATGTGTGTGAGCGCATGCGTGTGAGCGTGTGCATGTGTGTGAGCGCATGTGTGTGAGTGTGTGCTTGTGTGAGCGCATGCGTGTGAGTGTGTGCTTGTGTGTGAGCGCATGCGTGTGAGTGTGTGCTTGTGTGTGAGCGCATGCGTGTGAGTGTGTGCTTGTGTGTGAGCGCATGCGTGTGAGTGTGTGCTTGTGTGTGAGCGCATGCGTGTGAGTGTGTGCTTGTGTGTGAGCGCATGCGTGTGAGTGTGTGCTTGTGTGTGAGCGCATGCGTGTGCGCATGTGCGTGTGCATGAGTGCGTGTGTGTATGTGCATGTGTGCGAGCGTGTGCGTGTGTGAGCGCATGCGTGTGAGTGTGTGCTTGTGTGTGAGCGCATGCGTGTGAGTGTGTGCATGTGTGAGCGCATGCGTGTGAGCGTGTGCATGTGTGTGAGCGCATGCGTGTGAGTGTGTGCTTGTGTGTGAGCGCATGCGTGTGAGTGTGTGCATGTGTGTGAGCGCATGCGTGTGAGTGTGTGCTTGTGTGTGAGCGCATGCGTGTGAGTGTGTGCTTGTGTGTGAGCGCATGCGTGTGTGTGCTTGTGTGTGAGCGCATGCGTGTGAGTGTGTGCTTGTGTGTGAGCGCATGCGTGTGCGCATGTGCGTGTGCATGAGTGCGTGTGTGTATGTGCATGTGTGCGAGCGTGTGCGTGTGTGAGCGCATGCGTGTGAGTGTGTGCTTGTGTGTGAGCGCATGCGTGTGAGTGTGTGCATGTGTGTGAGCGCATGCGTGTGAGCGTGTGCATGTGTGTGAGCACATGCGTGTGTGTGCTTGTGTGTGAGCGCATGCGTGTGAGTGTGTGCATGTGTGTGAGCGCATGCGTGTGAGTGTGTGCTTGTGTGTGAGCGCATGCGTGTGAGTGTGTGCTTGTGTGTGAGCGCATGCGTGTGTGTGCTTGTGTGTGAGCGCATGCGTGTGAGTGTGTGCTTGTGTGTGAGCGCATGCGTGTGCGCATGTGCGTGTGCATGAGTGCGTGTGTGTATGTGCATGTGTGCGAGCGTGTGCGAGCGTGTGTGCACGTGTGTGAGTGTGTGCGTGTGCGCATGAGTGTGAGTGTGTATGTGCGTGTGCATGAGCGTGTGCATGTGCATGTGCGCGCGCGTGTGCGTGCATGTGTGTGAGCGCATGCGTGTGTTCATGTGCGTGTGTGCATGTGCGTGAGTGTGTGCATGTGTGTGTGAGTGTGTGTGCGTGCGTGTGCGTGTGCACCTGTGAGAGCCACCGGCTGCATGTGTAGTCACCAATTTTTTTATTTTTATGTTTTTATGCCCCTTTCCCTCCCCGTTGACCCCCTCCAGGCCCCGCCCCCAGGCCTTCACCTCCCTGCTGTCTGTGTCCACGGGTGACGCATGTGTGCACACAGGTCTTCGGTTGATTACCTCCCACCCACGCGCCCTCCCTGCCTTCCCTCCGAGATTCTGCCCCCTGTTCTGTGCTCACCAATTTTTTAAAAAACCCGGATCCGAGGATATTTTCCCAATTGGTTTTTAGAGCGGGGACGGAAGAGAGAGGCAGAGAGAAACTTCGATGTGAGGGAGACACATCGATTGGTTGCCCTCTGCACGCACCCCAACACGGGGTGGGGATCGAACCCACAACCCAGGCCCGTGCCCTTTAGCGGGAATCGAACCCGAGACCCTTCAGTGCTGAGGCCGGCGCTCTATTTACCAATTTCCGTCACTGGAAACCAAATCAATTTTTGCTTCTTAGAGCGTTTCAGGGAAGATAAAGAATTTCCTTTACCTGAGCTACAGTAAGCCCACGGCGTAAGCAGTTTCCCCCGGTGCAGCTGGCGTTTTGCACGTCGCTGGAGGAGATGGCAGGACCCGTGAGAGCCAGTTCTATTTTCCAGACCCGGAGGGCAGACCTCGCACAGCAGACAGAAAAGTATTGAAAACACGCAGTAAAAATAAGAAAGCCTGCGGTGCAATGCTCTCCACTGCACTGCAGCTCCAGTCCGGCGATGTCCGGGCCTGTGCTGGTGGTGATTGTGGGCACAGGGCGCAGCGTGGCCTCATAAAGACGGAAGACGTGACCGCTCACAGCGACGGCACCTTAGACGTCCCAGAGTTACCTGCGACACAGCTGAAGGGACGCGTTCTACTCTCTTCACTTTCCCGTCATGTGCCCCAGATTCCCGGAGACTGAGCAGTTTAAGCCCCACTGATTCTCAGGGTCCCGGGGCTGGGTTCTGGCCTGGTCTTGAGTTCTGGCCTGACCCTGGGCTCTGGTCTGTGCTCAGGGCACCCTGAGGCTCAGGTGGAGGCGGGGGCTGGGCTGGCACCTGTGGGCTTTGGGGGAGGGTTCCTTCCGGCTCAGGCTGCTAGAAGGTGAATTCCTCCGGGTGGGACGGGGGTGTCGGTGTGGACTGTCGGCCCAGAGTCCCTCCCTGCTCCCGAGGCCGCCCTCTGCCCCTCCTGCGGCCGCTCCATCGTCAGCGACGCCCGATCCAGCCCGATCCAGCCCTTCCCACAGGACTCTCCGGCCACAGCCAGGGAGGGTGCCTGCTGCTTTGTTTTGTTTGGTTAGTCCTCCCCCGAGGATATTTTCCCATTGATTTTTAGAGAGAGTGGAAGGGAGGAGAGAGGGAGAGGGAGGGAGGGAGAGAAAGAGAGAGAGCGCGATCGATGGGTTGCCTCCTGCATGTGCCCGACCAAGGGATTTCTAACCTTTGACCCTTTGGTGCACCGGCCGACGCTCTGACCACTGAGCCACACGGCCAGGGCTCCGTGCTGCCTTCCAGTTCAGGAAGCCCCCCCGGGAGGTCACCCCGCCGCTCCCAGGGCCTGCGCAAAAGGGAGGAAAGCGGACCAGGATGGTGCCTCTCAGGCCTCCAGGCGCAGGCGGGGCGAGCGCTTGGCTGCACAGGGTCCCCATCAGCCTTCCGCTGGCGGAGAACGTGGGGTGGGACCCGGGGGGGGGGCCGCGGGGAGAGGGGGGGTTCACATGAGCGTGGCGCCCAGACGGCAGCGCTCTCGCTGCCGCAGGTCCTCTCGCCGCTGTCGGACTCCATCCTGGCCGAGAAGACGGTGACGGTGCTGGAGGACCGCGTGGCCATCGCTGACCTGGGCGTGCAGCTGGTGGCCGGGCTGTCGCTCTCCCTGCAGCCGCACCGGGACGACCGCCGAGCCATCGTCGCCACGGTGACGGCCCAGGACGTCCTCCAGGCCCCCGGGCAGGTGAGCCCCGGAGCCCGTGTGTCCTCGGTCAGCGGAGACCACCTCCCCGTCTCCCCGTCCACCCTGCGGTCAGCACCGCCCTCAGAGCCGGGGCTGGGGCGCCCGAGCTGCCCCCTGCTTCCCACCCGCCGGTTCTGTCCGCACTGCTCAGGGGCAGACACGTTTGTCCTACGTGGTTTCTTAAAAACATGTTTTCATTGACGTCAGAGAGGAAGGGAGAGGGAGAGATGTCAGTGATGAGAGAGAGCCATGGACCGGCTGCCTCCTGCACGCCCCCCACTGGGGATCGAGCCGGAACCCGGGCCTGTGTCCTGGGCGGGAATCGAACCGGGACCTCCTGGTTCACAGGTCGACACTCAGCCACTGAGCCCGCCGGCCGGACATCCTCGTGTCTGTTTCCATCCATCGCCCTGTGCCCTGTGCCGTCTGCTTTGTCGGCCGCTGCTCAGCCTCGAACTGAGGTCACCTAGGCCTCGACCTGAGGGTCACGGGTTTCACTTGCGCCTAAAGCGCGTGGTTGTCGGTGCCGGACGCTCCCGGCTGCTTCCTGAGCGAGGGGCGGCGGCCAGGGAGCTACCGTGCGCCTCGTCACCTCCGACCCGCTCCCCGCCTTTAAACCGCCCCCCACCCCCGGTCCTGGGCAAGGGCCCCGGTCCCCGTGGGCATCAGAGCCTCTTCCCGGCTCCTCCCACCAACGCCTCTGCCTTTGCCCCTCGTGGCCTCCTGACAAGGAAGGTTGGGGGTGGGGGGTGGCTGCCCAGGAGGCTGACGGGCGGCACCTGAGTTTGGCTCCATCAATCGCCTGACCTTTCCCAGTGTTTTTCGAAAGGTCAGAGCCGAATCCCGCGGCCTGGATGCATGAATTAGCATGCACTTTGCATGTTAATGAGAGCATGGCATTCGCTCCTCACGCCAGCGGGCCAGGTGTGCCCCGGGCTGTGCAAAGCGATAAAGCACAGAGGCTCCTCCCCGGCCAGCGTGCCCAGTGGTTAGAGCGCCGGCTCTCCCACCGAAGGGTGGCAGGTTCGGCCCCCAGCTGCAGTCGGGAGGCAACCAATCCCATGTCCCTCACATCGATGTCTCTCTCTCCCCCTCCCCCTCCTGCCTCCCTCCCACTCTCTCTGAAAATGATTGAAAAAAAAAACACCCTCGGGTGAGGATTCATAAAAACCAACCGACCAAAGCCTCCCTCCCGAAGTTTCCTTTCCCGGGTTTGCACGTTTAAGGGGCGCCAGGCAGGAGCTCAGTTCACGGCCGCGACCTGAAGGGACCCGCGGGCGGTAACAGTAACGGACGCTCTGGTCTGGTTTCCCCCAGGAGGCGATCGTCAGCTCCTGGATCCTGTTCAGCGACGGCGCGGTGACCCCCCTGGACATCTACGACCCCCAGGACTTCTCCGTGTCCGTCTCGTCGCTGGACGAGATGGTGGCGTCCGTGCGGCCGAACCTGCAGCCCCAGTGGCCGGTGGTGGCGGCGGAGGGCGAGGGCCAGGGGCCCCTGGTGAAGCTGGAGATGCTCATCAGCGAGCCCTGCCAGAAGACCAAGAGGAAGAGCGTCCTGGCCGCCGGCAAGGGCCACGTCAAGGTCAAGTTCGACCCCCACGTGGACCGGGGCCACGGAGCCACCAACGACATCGAGGGCGTGAGCCGGGAGTACCAGGACCCCCTGAGCAACTCCATCCCGCGCGGGGGAGGCCGGGAGCGGGCGGCCCCGGGGTGGCCCCCCCACGGCGCCCCGGCCGGCCACCGGGACAGCGCCAACCGGAGCGCCACCCCGCCGCCGCCCCCCCTGGGGAGGAAGGACGCGAAGCGGCCCCCGGGCGGCGGTCCCGACGCCTTCACGAGCTTCCCCACGCAGGGGCGGTCGCAGGGGCCCAACCCCGCGGCCGGCGAGCTCACGGCGGCCTCCCGGGGGCTCTCCGACCTGGAGATCGGCATGTACGCGCTGCTGGGCGTCTTCTGCCTGGCCATCCTCGTCTTCCTGGTGAACTGCGTGGCGTTCGCCCTCCGGTACCGGCACAAGCGGTTCTCCGTGAGCGAGCAGGGCGCCCTCCCGCACTCCCACGACTGGGTGTGGCTGGGCCACGAGGTGGAGCTGCTGGAGAGCCCGGTGGACGTGACGCTGCCCTCGGAGGAGTGTGCCCCGGGGCTGGACCGGGGGCTGCCCTTCGAGGAGGGGAGCTTTCTCCTGAACGGGGGCTCCCAGGAGGCGCTGCCCAGCCAGCTGCTCCGGCCCCCCGAGTACGTCTACGAGAAGGACCCGCGGCGCCCGCCCGCCACCCCCTCGGCCCCCAAGAGGAAGCGGGTCAAGTTCACGTCCTACACCACCATCCTGCCCGAGGAGGGCGGCCCCTACACCGACTCCATCCTGTTCCACGGCGAGGACAGCATCAAGTGGGTGTGCCCGGACCTGGGGCGGGGGGACCCCCGGGACTTCCGGGACTACATGGAGAGGCTGCGGGACCAGATGTGAGCACAGCACGTGTGTGCGTGCGTGGGATTCACCTTTATGCCTTCTGTTTTCGCGGTCGGGGGGGCAGGGCGGGCGGCGGGCGCATGGGATGGGACGGCGCGGTGTCTGCAGGGGGGTCCCACCGGAGCAGGGCAGAGCGCCGAGAGTAGAGCTGCTGGGGTGTTTTTTAAAAAAAATAAATTTTTATTGATTTCAGAGGGAGAGGGAGAGAGAAACATCAATGCTGAGAGAAGCATGGATCGGCTGCCTCCTGCACGCCCCGCACTGGGGATCGAGCCCGCAGCCCGGGCAGGTGCCCTGACGGGGAATCGAACCTTGACCTCCTGGGGTTTAAGTTGGGAAATGTCTCTGAAACGGCCGCCCGTGGGTCCCGGAGAAATGCTCCCACGAGTCTTACCCGCTGCCTGGTCCCGGCTCCGTTCCGACCGGACAGACCCAGCCCAGAGGACATGGCCTGTCGCCCCGGACGCACGCTGGGCCGGCGACGCGGGGAGGACTCGGTGTGACTTGTCCAGCCCTGGACCCTCTGAAGCACAGCGGGCGCCCTGGCCTGGCCTGGGATGGACGCCCCCTGCCCTGGCCTGGCCTGGGATGGACGCCCCTGCCCTGGCCTGGCCTGGGATGGGCGCCTGGAAGCTGCTGACGGTGCCCCCCGGGGCGCGCGGCCGGCTCCCTCATTTCCACCCGCCTCTGCAGCCGCCTCCTGTGACCTCGCCGGCCTTTGGGAAACATGAAGAAAAGAAATGTCTTTGTTTCCCCTCTGACATCCGTTCGATTTCCACGCGTCCCAGTCACGCCCGTGCTCCCGCGTGGGGTCCGGGAGTCTCCCGCGTCCGGTTTGCTGTCTCCCTGTCCCCCACGCTCCACCCCCCGGGGCGCCGGGCGCTTCCCCTCCCCCGTGTCCCCTCCGTCTCGTTGTGGACCCGCTGGTGTCGCGGGACATGGGCTCTCGGAAGCTGTGGCTGTGCCGGGAGGGCGGGCGCGTCCTCCTGGTTTTCTACGCGGAACCGAACGCTGCAGAACAGTCGTGACCCGCAAACAGCGCTTCGTCTCCTGCGAGTCGGGGTTCGCGGGGAGCCCCCCACCCCCCAGCGCATCTCTGGGGCTAGAAGAGCTCCCCACGGTGCAGCGGCCGCACCGACCCCACAGTGAAACCAACAGACACGGCAAGGAGCTCGCACAGGAGCTCGCGTCAGGTTAAACTTCCCGTTTTCCCGGAACAAAAACCATTTTTACCAGGCGGGGTGACGTTTTAACTCAGCGACATGCAGGAATCCTCCCCAGACCATCCTCCCCCAACGTCCCCCAGCCACGGCTCCGGTGGGGAGAGAGCCGACAGGGTGCGACCTGCGGGCGTCCGGCCGCTCCGTTTAACCGACGGAGGCCTGAGCTCAGCGGCCGGCCCCGCGCCCGCCGGGGTTTCGGGGTTCATGGCCCAGATGCCTGAGCAATGGGTCCCGCAGGATGCACCGTGGGCGAGTCCCCACCTCGGCCCCCCCCTCCGCCCCCCGCATCCCCCCAAACCCAGACGCCAGCGGCTCGGGAGGGGCCTTGGGCTGTGGACTCTGAGTCGGGGGTGGGGGTACGTGCTCCCAGGGGCCCAGGTGACCTGACAGCCGAGAGGTGACCCAGTTCCCAGAGCGCCCCGGGGAGCGGCCTGGAGAGAAGCAGGAGCAGCCACGTGGAGGCCTGGAGGCCGGGGTCCCCCAGCTGCGGCCCCAGGAGGGAACCCTGATCTCTCGGCTGTCGTATCTCACCCACTGGGCGGACTGGAATGACCCCTCTACACGGACGGGGTGTCTATGCACAGACCCCCACGCGGGGAAGCGGGGTTCACGCCTGCCCCCCACACCGTCCACCGCAGGAGGTGCCTGACGCACTTGTCAGTCTCACCAAGTCGGCTGCTGTGGGTGTCCTCAGCTGTCTGTCCGCTGTGTTAGAGTGGGTCTCTGATGTTGGGGTGCGCCCCCCCAGGCTCTGTCTGTCTGTCTGTCGGCGGGGACACTCCGCTGCCCTCGGTGGGTCCCCCCTGTCGCCCCCCCCCCCCGGGGTTTTCTGCTCCAATCATCTCAAAAATGGTCTCCATTCTCCGTTCTGGTCTCTGTCCACCACGTCCCGGTGGCCCGCACGCCCAGCAGCCGTCCCGCCCACAACGCACACACGTGTGGGGTGACCCGTGTTCCCAGGCATGGAAGGGACCGGGGGCGGAGTCATGCTAACACATGGACAGCAGAGATGCCTGTATGTCATGTAAGCAGCACACGGAACACTCCAGGCGTGTGGGGATACGCACCTTTCAAATACGAGCACGCAGAGCCGTAGCGCTGACAGGTGCAGGCGTGGGGCTCGGCGTGTGGCCTGATGGCGGGACGCGTGCAGGCAGCACCGCGAAGGGCGTGGAGTCCGGGAGGTGCCGGGGAGGGGAGGGCGCGTGGGACGGTCGCTGGGACCTGCCGGGACGTTTCAGTCTCACGCGTCATGACGTCTGGGTTGTTCTTTCCTTTTCCTTTTCTTTTTTTCTGGAACCATTTCAGAAATAAAGTGACCCCATCTTCCAGCATAAAGTATATTCTAACCACAGGGTAGCGCTCCTTTTTAACATGGAAATAAACGTTGAGACCTTCTTTCTTGTGGCCTGGTTCTACCCGCGCGTTCCCTCAAGCTCAGCGCCTGTGGGATGGGCTCATGGATCTATTTGAAAAAAACAAAAAACAAAACACTTTACCTTTAAAAAAAACACATATTTTTATTGATCTCAGAGAGGAAGGGAGAGGGAGAGAGAGAGAAACATCCACGATGAGAGAGAATCACGGACCGGCTGCCTCCTGCACGCCCCCCACTGGGGATCCAGCCCGCAACCCGGGCCTGGGCCCTGACCGGGAATGGAACCCTGACCTCCTGGTTCCTAGGTCGACGCTCAACCCCTGAGCCCCGCCGGCCGGGGCAGTGAATGAATTCCTCATTGTCTCATTAGTCGCTTATTTCTGTCTCACACCGACGGAGGCCCTAATGCGCTTCATGGCGCACCCGGAGGGCGGCAGGCGCGCCCGTTCCCGCGAGCCCGTTAAAATGCAGGCCAGGCTCTGGCCCGTGCGTCCAGGTGGTTAGAGCGTCTGCCCGAGCACCGCAGGGTCGCTGGTTCGGTCACGGCTGCCCAGGTCACCTGGCACCGACAAGGGCACGTACCTGGGCTGCCGGTTCCATCCCTGGCCCCGGTTGGGGAGCGTGTGGGAGGCAATGAATATAGGTCTCTCACATCGATGTCTCTCTCTCTCTCTCTCTCTCTCTCTCTCTCTCTCTCTCTCTCACATCAATGTCTCTCTCTCTCTGTTTCTCTCCCCCTCCATCCCTCCCTTCTATTCTCTCTAAAAATTAATAAGAGATATCCTGGGTGAGGATAAATAAATAAGTAAATGTGTTGCAGCGTCGCCAGTGTTTGGGGAAATGAAGGTCCGCATGTGGTGAGACGCTGGGGGTGTGGATGGAGTGACCTTAGTGACCGTGGGCGGCCGCCTCCCTCCCACCCGGCCCGCGGGCTCCCTGCTGCTGACACACAGCTGTGGGGTCAGTAGAGCCGAACCAGGGGCCTGGGAAGTGAGCTGGGGAAGGGATGCGGGTGGGGGGGTCAGAGGGACCCGTCAGAAGGAGAAGATTTAGGAACCAAACCCTCTGATCAAAGCCAGTTTTTGTGGGGGATGAACCATTTCAGGACGTTGGCAGGAGGCTGGGGGGCCGTGGGGGAAACCAGCGTGCGCACCGCCCAGGCCTTCGCCGCGGGGCTCAGCGCGGAGCTTTTACCACCAGAAGGTTCCCGCGCCCCTGCGGCTCCCAGCACAGGCCACGCCGGAGCCGGAGAAGGAGCCGCCACGGGAACCCCGGCCGTTAAACGACTCCATTCATCTCCTCTCCCTCACGGCCCACGTGCAGCAGAAAACACCCTCCTTAATGAGAGGCACCTGTAGACACTGTTATGCCTTTTCTCTTTTTTAAAAAAAATTTTTTTATTTCAGAGAGGAAGGGAGAGGGAGAGAGAGAAAAAAACATCAACAATGAGAGAGTCATGGACCGACTGCCTCCTGCACGCCCCCCACTGGGGATCGAGGCCGCAACCCGGGCCTGTGCCCTGACCGGGAATGGAACCCGGGACCCTTCAGGCCGCAGGCGGAGGCTCTGTGCACTGAGCCACACCAGCCAGGCCTGCCTTTGCTCTTGTATTTGATGTCGGGGCAGGGAAAGGAACGCTGCCAGAGCCGGGGGCCTCCTGGGTGTGCAGAGTGTCTGCACAGCTGCCCTGGGCCCGGGCTCGGCTGGCTGGCGGAGCGATGACTTTTCGTTGCTGTGCCGCATGGGAGAGGCTCTCGGCAGGTGTGATTAAAAGGCTTTTAATGCAGGAAGCCCAACCAGCTCAGTGGGTGGGAAGCCCGCGGAACCGCCTGCAAGAGACGGGCGGCGCCTTCATCCGAGAACCGCCATTTGCTGCCGTCGAGACTTGGGATCAAAGCCGACGATGAGTCAAGACGCGGGGCGTGCGTTTCCGTCGGTGCCTGCCGATCCTGCGGGCATCCATCACCTGCCTGACTGCTCTCCCCTCCTCCGAGGGCCGGGAGAAGGCAGGTCCTGGGAGCTCGGACGGCCCTGCAGCGTCTGAACTGAATTCTCTTCTCTTTCCTGCACAAACACGGGGCATGCAGCCTGGTCCCACGGGGGTGCCGCTGGGGCCGTGGGACACGGGAAACCTCGCTTCTGCGTCCCCACGTGGGTCCCCAGGAGGGCGCACCCCAGGTCAGCCCCCTCCCCACACGGTGCATTTGCCTGCCCATTCGTCCGCAGAGAAATGTCACCCAACAACTTGACACGCATTTTCTGTCACAGAAAGAACACTTTAAAAAATATATGCATATCTCTTTACTGATTTCAGAGAAGAAGGGAGAGAGAGAGACATCGATGAGGAGGGATCGCCGGTCGGGTGCCTCCTGCACGGGCCCTACAGGGGAGCAAGCCCACAACCCGGGCCTGTGCCCTGAGCGGGAATCGAACCCTGACCTCCTGGTTCCTCGGTGGACGCTCAACCCCTGAGCCACCTGCCTGGGCCTCACAACTGCCTGGAAAGTTCTGATGCTTTAGGATGTTGGGTTTTACTGTGCGGACAGAGCAGGAGGACCAAGCTTTCCAAAAAAGGAGGACCCCAGCCCTGGCTGGTGTAGCTCAGTGGTTAGAGAATAGCCCCCCTCCCCCCCTGCACCAAAGGGTGGTGGGTTCAGTTCCTGGTCAAGGGCACGTACCTGGGCTGCAGGTTCCATTGCCCGCCGGGTGGGGGCACGTGTGGGAGGCCACACGGCTCTCTCTCATCGACGTTTCTCTCTCTCTCCCCCTCCCTCCCTTCCACTCTCTCTAAAAAAAGAAGAAAAATATCAATGGGAAAATACTCCAGGGTGAGGCTTAACCTCAAAAGATGCCCCATCTCTGCTCCTGCAGCTCCTTCTTGTCTCTGCGGACTCCCCTCTCCTGGGGAAGGTCCCCGAGGGCTGGCCTGTGTGTGACTGACAGCTGCTCACACCCAATCAGAACTCTCCAGTCAGCAAGGCCAGGGACCCCCCCCAATGAAGTGGGGGGCCTGTGGCCATGGGGCTGTTGGTTTAAAGAGTCAGTGTAAGGGCTGGGCTCCCCCCATCCCTGCCCCCCACCGCTGACCTTTCCTCCCACCCTGTAGGGCGGGCGGTGAGAGGCAGTTTGTACTTCCGTTCCCTTCGGCAGGAAAATAACTCACCTTCAAGTTCTTAACCTTACGGTGGAGATGAGCCGGCCCGCCCCTCCTGTTGTATTTCCCCTGCGGAGGGGAAGGCCGCCCGCCCCCGGCGCCCCCCACAATCTCATTATTCCCCCTCAGTGTGACCGAGCGGCTTTAGAACCCGTTTAGGACGATTGAGGTGCTGGGGGCGCTGACAGGCCCCGTGTCCCCGACCCCCGTCTCTGTCCTGTCGACGCTGCGAGCGGCCTCCGGAGGCCCTTGTATGAGACGCGCCCTGTTCTGTCGCTCACAATGGGCGGCTGCCTTTGTCTGTTCCTTCCCCAACTTCATTTCTGGATTCGGGAAACCTCAAGCCCCGCGCCGGCACCTCAGGGCCCCCAGACACACATCCCCCCCTCCCCCGGCAGCTCCCCGTTCTCTCAAGGGGCCTTTGCGAGAGGAAGCGAGCGCGATTTTGCGTCGGGCGTTTGGAATACGCGTTGAGGGCACGGTCTGATTTTTCTTTCCCCGTTGGGACTGGAGGCGTGAGTAATAAATGTAGTAAGAAATTATTTAAACTCTTCCCCCAGCTTTTCATTCTCGTATCAGTTTGTAAAATGAGGATAATTATGTAGATGCTGTGCAGGCCTCTCTGAGGAGGAGGAGGAGGAGGAGGGGGAGGAGGAGGAGGGAGAGGAAGAAGGGGAAGGGGAGGAGGGGGAGGAGGAGGAGGAGGAGTGGGGAGGGGCAGGTTGTGAGTAGGCGGATTTACCCAGTAACAATGCAGGGCCCCTGTGAAATGTAAATATCAGATCGGTAATCAATCACTTTAAATGTCAGATAAAGAATCAATAATTTTTAAAAACTATATATATTTTATTGATTTCAGAGAGGAAGGGAGAGGAAAAGAGATAGCAACATCAATGATGAGAATCACTGATGGCAATCCGGGCATGTGCCCTGCCCAGGAGTCGAACCCCTGACCTCCTGGTTCACACGCTGACACTCAAGCACTGAGCCATGCCAGCCGGCAGGAATCGGTCCTTTTAATGAGAGCTCGTCGCCCAGAGCGATATTTGAGACAAACTATGCAGAAGCTGTGATGCAGCCGAGCCCATGACAGGCCTACACCCCCAAGTCCAGCCTTCCGTCTCCAACCTCAGCATCTGCAGCCCGAGTGTTCTCTGCGCGAACCAGACCCCGGACACGGAGGGAGGGCGTAGGCCTCGGTCGGCCCAGCTCCGCCGCGTGCCCCTGCACGGTTCGCCGGCGTGGGAGCCGGGGATGCAGAGACCGTTTTGTTCCATAGGCTCTGTTACGAAGGGTAAAGCCCAGAATACGGCCCCTTTTTCCTCCTTCGAACTGGCCCCACTGCAATGGCATCCCCCCCAGACTTAAAAACACCCCCCCCAAAAAAAACACACACACTAAAGAATTCCAACGTACTCTGGTTTAAAAAAAGACCCATAGCCCGGCCAGCGTGGCTCAGTGGTTGAGCGTCAACCTACGAACCAGGCACAGTCTGAATCCCGGTCGGGGCACGTGCCTGGGCTGCGGGCTCTGTCCCCAGTGTGGGCCGTGCAGGAGGCGGCCGATCGATCCTCATCACTGATGTTTCTCTCTTCCTCTCCCTTCTTCTCTGAAATCAATTAAAAATAAAAAAACCCCACAAACCTATAGGAGTGATTATCGCCCATGTGGTTGAACAAAGGGAGAAGCATTATCCTTGACAATAAAATAATAATGGTTTTCCCGTTCTGCCGTCAGCGGCAACCGCCGCACAAATTCAGTTTGGGGTGGGAAGTTACTTACATTTTTGTACATATTTTGATTAGATAATTAGAAGATTTTTGTCTGCCACGTAACAATTTTTAGAGACATAATGCGGTGGGTGTG